TCTCCCCAAAATGCTGGTGTGTTTCCTGATGGGAGATGTCCGGATCTCCTTCTTTGGCTGTGCTGCCCAGCTGTATTTCCTGGTTTTGCTGGGAAGCACTGAGTGCCTTCTGCTGGCTGCCATGGCCTACGACCGCTATGTGGCCATTTGTGACCCCCTGCACTACAGCCTGGTGATGAATGGGGGGTTCAGCGTCAGCTGGTGGTTGGCTCATGGATGGCTGCCATACCAATACAAGTGGGCCAGACCTATCAAGTGTTCTCCCTGCCCTTCTGTGCATCCCATCACCTCCATCATTTTTTCTGTGACGTCCCCCCTCTGTTGGAGCTGGCCTGTGCAGATACTTTCTGGAGCCGTGTGACCCTGCACGCTGTCATCCTGCTATTTGCCGTCCTTCCCTTTTCCATCATCGTCGCTTCCTACATTAGAATTATCGGGACGGTTCTGAAGATGCACTCTGCTCCGGGCAGACACAAAGCCTTTTCCACCTGCACCTCACACCTCACGGTGCTGACACTCTTTTATGGCTCAGCCATGGTCTTGTACTTCAAACACCGCTCCGCAGACACTGACAAATACCTTGCCCTGTTTTACATGGTTCTGGCCCTGGTGCTTAACCCTGTCATCTACAGTATGAGGAATAGGGAAGTGAGGATCGCCCTGAGAAAACTCCTGTGGAGAAAGTAATACTCAGAGTGGGTGAAATACCCAAATAGTTACAACGAGCATTTGGCTGTTTGAGTGCTGGCATCCGGTATTGGCTCAGACACTTCTAGATGTGATACCTCTAGATTTGCTGCACCATCCCACAGCCCACTACATCTTACAGAAGGAATCAAAGTTTATGTAGTATAGAGAAGGGTGTGTGGGGATTCGTGTCACGTCATCACAGGGCAAGAAATGAGGGCTCCCTTCTCCCCAGCTTTTTGAAGTCTGTACTTTTAATTTTGTCTTATTACTTAATTAAGTTGCCGTATTATAATGCATATTATCCTTCCTATGATTGCTCTGTGCCTCATTAATGGTATTGAAGTCATAATTCTGCAGGTTAAAGAAGGGAAGGGGAAGGGGAAGGGGAAAGGGGATAGAGGATAGGGGAAGGCGATGTCAGTCTTGCCCAGAATCAATCATAGCCCTTCAGCTGTGCTATGTTTAATGCTCTACTGAGCCTGTATGGACCTGGGGAAGGTCATACATTTTGGCCTCTGATTTATTAAGATCTGAACTGAAAGGTCAAGCCAGAAAGAAATGACATATTCTAACACGTGTGTCGATCAAGTCATGTCTCAGTAACCTGGTCAGTCACCTCTCAGTTCAGACAACGCAAAGCCTTCTTGTTTTTATCCCAGCCAATGCTGCAGTGCTCAAATATTAAAAACTCCATTTGGATGTGGTGTCCAAGAGTGAGCAGAAAGCAAATGTGCCTGGGAAGGGGCAAACAAACAACCTCTGTATTTATTAACCTCCAAGTTTTCAAGAGAAAAAACAGCTCAAAAATTCAGAGATGCCGACATGTTCCGCAGCACTGTGAGTGCAAATGGGTTGTTGTGGTCCTGAGTCCCACGATTGCTCCAGAATTATAGTTCTGCATCATTATCCTTTCACTCATTCTAAAC